ATTACCGTACACATTATTCTACCGTATTTTGCACCGTATATATGAATATAGCGGAGTTTCAGCGACAGCCGTTGGACGCTACTAACGCTTTTAAAATAACTTTTTTTTTTTATTTATTTATTCAACTAACCCATGAAACTGCTGCGAATTTTAATGAATCCTTCAAGAGCCTGGCACGTGCGGAAATGAGTCTAAAGCGTTTATCCAGCGGCTTTTTCCTTCCTCAAAATACAGGGCGTTGCAGTCCGGTAGACCCCTTCAATTACAGGTTGGTAGTAAGTTGGCTTTTTTTATGGTCTCCGTTTTTTACTCTTATTTCGCGGGTGTGGGAGGGAAGATTCAATTCCTTTGCAAAGAGTAAAGCCCTCTCCATTTAAATGTATAAACTCAGATGTTTGTCGGAAATGATCTCGTTTAAAAAAAAAAAAAAAAAAATAGTGAAAGAAAAAGAAAAGAAAAGAAGCAGCTATTATATTCCACGCGAAGAAAGCTCTGGTGGTGAAATGAATCCCTTCCAGATACTGGTATTTAATTGGTTGATTATTTGTTTATTTAAAAGGCATTGTTAAAATCTCCCATGGAAGTCGGTGTGGTGTATTGTTGCGGTTTGGGTGTGATTTGAAAGCGTGGGTGTCGCTAAAGATGAATACGATGGTCAAGCTTTTGTTAGGAAGAATTATATTTTTTGGGTCTCCCCCCTTCTTCCCGTCGACGCACTTCAATGAAGGGTGGACTGTTTTTTTGTTTGGGTTAGGGTGTTGCTGATGGCCGGGCTCGGTGAAGAACTTTTAATTTGTTTCACAGCTACTTTTAAACTGGTATTTCTCGTACGGATAACAAAAGCGGGCAGAAAAATGAAATTTCATATTCTTGCTATGTAGAAAAGATTTTTTGTGTATCGAAGAAACTGAATTGCGAGATTAAGAACTAAATTTCTAATAGATCTTTTTCGGAAAGACCGTTTTTTACTCTTCTAATGTAATTGTGCTCCCGCGACCGTTGGCTTTGGAGTTTTAGTTCTCCGTTATTTACCATATCATGAAAAAATTTCTTTCCCCCCCCAAAAAAAAAGTGTAATAAGTAACAAAACAGGCGTCTAGAGTACGTTAAGTTAGGCATTTCAAGAGCATTTGTAAGGCATTTCTTCCTCCTCCTCAGTCCATGACTCAGATGCATGGTAACGAATCCTCTAATTTGTTAAAATCTCCTAATTCCCTCTAAGCGGTTATGACGACACGCGTTAAGATCACAAGTGAGAGGAGACTTGTTACGACCTTCCAGTGCCTATTTTAAAGTAACAGACTGTAAGAGCCAGTGCCGAAGCCGCTGCGATTAGCGCGGTAGCACCGGACGGCAGGATTTAGGGATTGTAAATTTTTTTAGAATTTACAGAAGAACTGAACTCCAAAATTTAGAGATGGAAAAATTTGTGGAATTTTAGTGGAGACATAGAGAATCAGAGTTTAGAGCCGGTACTATTTTTAGCTATTTTTAGAATTCATGGAGGCACTAGGCAGCAGAATTTAGGACACGCTGAGATTACACAGGGAAGCAAAATGTTTAGCGCTGACCCTGCAACTGTACAAAATGCTAATTATTGAAATACAGTACAGCCTTAACTTGTCCAGGTGTGTTTTTCCTCAAAATTCATATCATGAGCAAAAACACCCACATATTATTCGAAGCGTTTCTTTGCTTGTGCCTTTAGTTGATGCAAAAACATGAAATTTTTTGTTTTGCTTTCTGATGAAACTGGGAAACAATTATCTTAAAAGTTAAACTACAAGTTTAACTACAAGCTTAATTTAAACTAAGTGCCAATTATATATATATATAGATATAGATATAGATATATATCTATATATATATAATTTTTTTTTTTTTTTTTTAATTTACGTGGCATATATTCGCTTCGAGTCTAATGTTATGCAAATTAAAAGCACACAAACAGAGTTTAAATGATACAAAGGTTACTTCGAATTTATCCTTCCCAAACAGAACTAGTACCAGTCTGTTTTGGTAAAATTAGTGTTTGTCAAAGGTTGAAACGATTCCAGTTTGCTGCACCAGGTTGGTAAGGACCTTTTACAGACATTACGGGAAGGAGTTAAAACCACGGGTCTCTTTCGAACGTGCCCGTGGAAAATATCGCGGAGAAAACAACGCAAGGAAAAAACATCGTTACATAAAACATATCTGAAAGTCTAAAAATATATGTCTGCGATGTTATCATCATACGATGATGTAGGCGATTGAGCTATAGACGATTTATTTTTTTACCACGATGTTTTCAAACCGTGTTTTAAAACTGCAAATTTCTTAAATCGCTTTATTTTCTACCACGATGTTTTCTCCTTGATTTCTTTTGAGGTTTTTTCATCACGGAGAACCACGATGTTTTGTACGGCCATGTTTTCCCCTTTATGTTGCTTCCGACTCAACGTTTCTGCCAGCGATTTTTTCGTCTGTAAACTTTTTGAGAAGGGCTGAATTTGATAATAGCCATTATAAAAGCTGATCACCTTATTGAATCTTTACTTGTTTATTTGACCTTAATTGTAACTCATAAGACGTGGAAAAAATAAATAACTTTGTCTAATTTTAAATTTTTATTTGTATGCAGGTTAATTGGAATCGAGAATAGTTTAAGAAACAGATTTACAGCTATATATATGGTACTGTAAGATAATAGTGCAATACTTTGTGATTGCTGTATTATCTCATTAAAATTAGAACAAAACGAAAGAATTCTTTACTTTCATTAAGTAAAAGATAGACAGAAACAAAACGTTACATTGTAACTATGCTATTAATCATATAGTAATTTTATTATTAATTTACTTTATAATAGTGATGTCTTGCCACGGGTAATTTATCAACTAAACCTAAACACGTTTACATGTGTTTCATGAATTCTACTTTACTTATTATATTAATGCGTCTCAAAGTGAGCGATACCACTCCCTTTAGGGCTTTGGATTGCTAAAAAAGGAGTTAGTAATCAGTAGAGATAGGGATGCTTCAAGTTTCAAAGGCCAATGGTTTTGGCAAAATTATTTTTTTAATATTATTAGGCATAATACAATAATGTAACGTTTACTGTGTTACATTTAATAATTTTAATTAATGTAATATTTACATTTTAGTTCCAGAATTTTAATTGCAGAATTTTATTCCTATTGCAGTACTGTCGTTAAAAAAATTATTTTTATCATCTTGCTTTTAGTTTGTTTAAAATATTAACTATACAGATCTTTTGGTTAAAAATGAAATTCGTAAATCATAAGAATTTAAATTGTAATATTTGATACAAAAAGAAAAATGACCATAATTTAATTTCAGCAACTCATCTAGAATAAATTAATATTTTCTAGGAAGTTTTTGACGCAGGTGTACATCTGAGTTTTTCCTAATATATATATATATATATATATTATATATATAAATTTTTATCTGGTGTGCGGTTTGATTTTGAGCTTTAAATAAAGCGTTGAACAAGCAAAGCGCAAAGAAAACACGGGTTAGAGCAAAAAGTTCTGTTAAAATGTACTCATCAAATGGCACAGTAATAAAGCTTCTCGTATCAGCAAACCTATGTAGTCAGCAGACTCTACTGACTATTCTATCCCTCCGAGCAACTTTCTTCCATGCATCACCAAATTTGAACCTCTGTCTAGTTTGAGATATCCCACTTCCTTCTTTCGCCTCCTCAAATACCAATATACAACTCAAATACCAATATCTCAAATACCATATGCTGCCAAATAATAATAAATAAATAAATAAATTTATAAATTAAATACGTATTAATTTATATTAATTAAACAACTTTAAAATAAAAATTTAAATTATTAACAAATGTTTTGTTTCTTTTAAATTACTCAGTTTGCTAGTTAATGCAGGCTGATCAAATTTGAAAGATAAATTAAAGATTTTATGCTTTGTCAGATGACAACAGTATGAGAATAGGCTATGAACAAGGGCTCGTGAAAAATAAATTAAAGGTGTTATGATTTACTCATTGGGAACACTTGCCGAGAATTGCTTCTAGATTCTTTTCGCTGTCTCTTGTATACGTTTATAAGACATTATTGTGTTTACGGATTTTAATTTTTAATTTACTAGGATAAGAATTTTCAGAATAAAGGAAAACAATACACACCCTTTGGGGTGAAAAAAATCACCGAACAGTGCATCAATACAGTTATAAAAAATTTTAAAATGCGCTTGTAGAACTTATTGTGTAATGATCGTTTGGTTGGTCAATAAGTCACAGTATCTAAGGACAGAATACTTTCCTGGAGGACTTTTTGAAGAGACAATTGAACGCGAAAAATCCCTCGTGGTCAAACCATCCGCTCATGCAGAACTATTAACTTTCAGCGAGTTTATCTTCTCGGCCACTAGATTTGGATTTATTTGATTACAGTAAAGTCCAATAGGGTTATCACTGTAATGGAAGAAATACATTCATGGAAGACTTTATAAGGGAACTGGTACGTATTCACGTTGCAGATGGAAAAAACTATGAAATGCCCACGTAATCAGCTCGTTCACCGAGACTTAAACCGTGAAACTACCAGCACACATCAACCAGCACAACTAATGAAAACTACCAGCGCACAGATATCTTACTCATTCGGCCACTGTTATATAATAATTCCTTTATTTGAATAACGAAAAGCACACGAGGGCTATTTGCCTAAAGGGAGAGGAATGCCTTCGTGTAAAATTTTCTAAGAAAATTGGCTTGTGTTCGTCATGAAGAAAATCACGAAAACTCCCAGACAGGATAGTATCCATGATCTGATTCCAGGTAGAACTACCGGCATTCGACGATTTTATATACTTGACCCCTAACAGTCATTGTCATGTAACGAATGCATCAGAAAACGATTAAAATATAAATTATATATTTGCAATGTAATTGTTAACTTGCGTTCTAATAATGTATTAAGAGACTAATAGATTATCTTTCTCTCTCTCTCTCTTCCATGCAGTTTCGATGCGAATAAATCGACGAAGGGGGCGTCGAAACTTCGCCGAGACCTCATCAACGCGGAGATCGCCAATCTGAGGGATCTCCTGCCTCTGCCTTCGTCCACGAGGCAGCGGCTCTCGCAGTTGCAGTTGATGGCCCTCGTCTGCGTGTACGTAAGGAAAGCCAACTATTTTCAGCATGGTAAGTACCAAGAGATACCATTTTCTCTCTTGTTTCTACCCAAGCTAAATCATATCTCTCTTGCAGATACTGGAATCGATAGCTTTTATTGATCTAACTTAGTAGTTGAGTAAATTTATCACATCTGTAAAGATGGAACATTTAACTGCAGCCATTTTCAGCGTAAGATAACACATTTAATGCACACAGTAATAAATGGAGTTAAAAATGTTTACATAAATCAGTGCCTTGGATTCAAGAAAGAGTCTCATTTCTTCAATATCCTCATGACAATCACGGCGTTGCTGCTATGTTTCTGGTGCAATTGCCTTGATGCTATGTGTGTCTTGGGAAACATCCACAGTCTTCTGAATAATTGCATTTTTAAGGCTGCTATATATATATTATAATATCAAACGCGAGTACAAACGTGATTTCCCAATGATCCAAATAAAGATTGTTTGCTTCCTTACCCGGTCGAGTTCTTTCACGTTTAGTTACATTTAGTAGCTCTTATTCAATTCCACTGATCTTGTAGCAGCAAACACTTAAAAACTCAAGTTTTCATTCGCATGTTATGTTATTAAGAATCTTAAAAATAAATGAGATTCATCAGAAGGTTAAAAATGTTACGCAGAATACTCTAAGCCGCATCATTACTCGTTACAGATGGCAAAAAAAGTCTTGATCTTTACAGAGCAAATCTCCGAGACGTTGTATTGAAGAAGCGAGACTTATTTTCCAAATCCAAGACACCGACTTTCTTAATCGTATTCAGTTATATTTATTGCTGTGTACAATTAATGTATTATCCTATATTGAAAATGCATGATGTTAAATGCTGCTCCTTTCTTGCTAGTGGTGAAACACCAGAGTACCCGGCTCGAAGAGCCTACCTCCATCAAAAATTGTCAGCTTTCGCACTTAGTCCCGAAATAGCAGTGTAGACGCTAAAATAACCCAGATCAATTTAAAATAGCACAAGGTCCTAAACTGAAGATAAGGAAAGAAACTTAAAATTTGGATACAGAAGAGACTGCAAATTAGAGTACATACAATCAAGACTGGTTATTAGAGTACATACAATCAATGATACCAATGAAAGGCAAGTATGAGTCAACAGGACAACATAACGAATTGTAAGAAATGTAATCCTCCTTAAATAACAAATACTGAACTTCAAATAAAAGTACAGAAAGAGGATTAAATACCAAATGCCAACAAGAACCCCCCACATAGTAAAATACCTCGAATATACATCACCAAGTATATAAATTAAACTACTAGTGCTCCCTCCACGGAATATTTCTTCAAAAGTATTTACCAATACAAAGATTTCGCCTATTGCAGGTGGGGCTGCCTTGATTTTCCCAAGTCTTCCCTAAATAATTTTAACAATGTCAGTGATGGAATATTCTGTGCATAATTTCTGAATTTCAACCAATACCTTAAATATGTCAGCAAGGGTAGCATCAATGTTCTCAGAGCTGTTTTCATTTTTCTTCATCGAGGTTGTTCTTCCCTTAGAATACGAACTTTAGGTGTATTTGCCCGAACTTTTTCCCCCAACGAAAATTAGTTGTAAAAGCGTAAATTAATAAAATTCCAAGTGTAAATGCACAAAAAATGTATTGTTATTTTCAAAAATATGAAAATGATTAATTAAAAACGTAATTTCAATCATAGTTTTTTTTAGTTTAATGATATGACAGAAACTAGCAAAATTATCTTTGTTAGGAAGAAGTATAATGGACTTCGGAAGCACTGTAAAAGGGCTTAAAATCGGGGGGGGGGGACATTTTGGCGCAGATTTTGAATAAACTGTTTGGATTTCAAAGGCGATTTGACATAAGGCTCTCTTTTTAAAGAATAAAAACTTTTCCCTGCTGAGCAAATTTGGACCAAAATTATTCAACAACAGAAGGCAAAGAAAACAAGAAATTTTTGCACCTGAAGAAGAGGAACTTGTGCTTGATTGCCTTTGAAACTGATACACTTATTGGAAAACTACGCCAAATTGAAGTTGCCGTTTTGCTTACTTTTAAATTTCATACTGATTTCCTTTTTCTTACATTAGATTGTAGAATGGTTTCTTAAGATCTTAATGTTCTTGGAACTTCTGAAGTCTGATGATTATTTGTTTAATCAATTAAGACGAATCATTCGAAAGTTTTCTAGCTTGGAGAGGAAATACTTTTGAAAGAGAAATTTTAAGAGACTGCTGGAAAAAGTAATATGATAAAGAAATACAAATAAAAGCAATTGCAATCGGAATTCAGATTCCGGTTTAATACCTAAAGTAGATTTAAACTAAATAGTAAAGATCAGCTTTCTAATTTAATCACCAAGGGTTCAAGGTATAGAATCATAGATTCAAAAACAATTACTCAAATATCGTAGATTTTGATAATGATTAAAATGAGTTGATTAGAAATTCAGTGTTAAACTTTAGGGAAGGGAAACTTGCTTTTGTATTATTTTTTCATAATTTAAGTGCAGAGACCTTTTTGCAGTTTTTAGTAAATAAACTGTTTACTTAGTCATATCTTAGCTATTTTTTTTTAATCGCCACATTACTTGCACACAAAGTTTACAACAACTATTTCCCGTAAGTCAACTATTTACGCAAATTTATACTAATTGTTACTAACTTGGCAAAATATAAATGGCAACTACACTCCTGCTCAAAAAACAAGCAACAAAGTCAAAACACAGAAACAAAAACTATATAATGGATGTGTGTGAAATTAATCCGAAAGGTTAATGTTGCATTGCTAATTTACATAGCAAGCAAAAGCGAAGATATACAAAAACACGTATATTACGATCATCACATCGCGAAATGCCAAATAAGTCGAAAAATGTAGTATCATAACCTCTACCTGAAACGCAGGCTTGACAGCAATGAAGCGAGCTGGCAATAGTGTCCTTGATCATTTGTTGTGGCAGTAGCGCCCATTTCTGTAGTAATGCATGTAGGAGCTCGTGTAGGGTGCTTGACGGCACACTGCGACCTGCTGTCCTTCGTCTCAATATGTTCCACACATGCTGTATGTGATTTATATCCTGTGATCTAGCAAGCCACGGCAGATGTAGAATGGTTCACTCTCCAGATAATTCCGCACCATCCAAGCTGTATGCGGGTTGTTATCGTGCATTAATATCACTTTGGTATCCATTGCATCGATAAAAGGACGCACAAAAAGATGTAGAATTTCGTCACGATATCGAACGGCTGTAACGGACCCACCAGAAATAACGTAGAGATCGGTGCGGCTGTTCGTTTTATCCCAGTATATACAAATAAGCCTCCACCTCTGTAATAGTCTCTTTCGATAATGTTTGGCGTCCGATAGCACATTCCTTGCTCTCGCCATATTATTGACCTTCGGTAACCGTTCTCGATGATGCTAAATCGAGTACTCTTTACTCGTGTAAGGAGTACGTAGCCCAACTGCAATATTCACGAGTGCAATTCAACCGTGCTCTGACATGCGATAGGGACGAAGGAACGTAATTTCCAGATTGTCGGACATACAGTCCACCTTCATGCAGTCGACACGACATAGTTTGGCGGGATATGGGCCGTCCTGCAGCAGCAGAGATGCGACGCCAACTAGCATGCTGTTAATGATCTACGGTGTCTTGTACATAGCAACAGGAAGCGGTCGTCTCCCGTTGTGGTAATCCTCAGACGTACTGACCCACGCCTTTCGCAGTGATTTTGATCCTTTTGGTAACGATTCCACAGTCTACTCATGGCATCACGATGCACATTCAGCTATCTCGCAACAGCGAACTGTTTTGCGCCAGCTTGCAACATCCTGACAGCCTTCCAACGCATTTCATTAAGCAGATGGTGTCTTCGGCTTATGCTTTCCCACTTGGGTACCTCGGATTACACGGAATTGTCGCTGCTTGCGAACTGAAGCTTACATCCGCTATGCCTCATTTTAAAGCGTTGCGGTGTAACTGCGGGATTGCGTTTTATGCTAATTTTAGCTGCCTATTTTGCTTTCGTCTCTGCCTTATATGTAAATTGTATGTTTTAATTCCTCTTTTTACATTCGTATCTTTTCTTTTAAACGTTTGTTGCTTATTTTTTGATCACGAGTATATTTATATTTTCCCAATACGCGAAATTCTGGCAATGAAAACAATAACATCGATTTCAAATCATTTTTGAATTTTTTCTCTCTGAAGTTTTAAAAATGATATCAGAGATCTATCCAAACAGTAGTAAAACACAGATTTATAAGTCCTTTTTCCTTTGGAGAAACTTAGTAGGAATCTTTAAAAACCAACTATGGTGTTATCAGGAATCAAGGTATTCCAGTTGCTGCTCAGTATTAGACAGCGAAATCACGTTTAATTCCTTATAAAATGAACGCTCTTTATAAGTTTCCTATACATTTATTTCCTTAATATTGAATGTTGTGTGGAATCCCATTTAACTGGTAGCAAAAAGACCGAAGCAATTCTGGATAAGAGATTTTTCCAGATAACCGAATACATATTTCTAGAACTTACATGTTCATGTTTTGTGAATCCATCTATAGATATTGCAGCATGCGAAGTTCATAGGTCATGCTCTTGATCTGTCTGCCACAAGTAAAGGAATAATATCGAAAATCGAGTTGAGCAATATCAAATATTAAAAAAATTAATTTTACACAAATTACGAAATCTAACTTTTAATTCGGTATCCCGGTTCTTCTACTTTCATTTGGGAAATTTTTCTACTCGTGATGAAAAAATAAAATTACGAGAAGTTTGACTGCCGTAGACGGGAAAAATTGACATGGTCACTTAGTTTCAAAATTTACAGTTTTTGATGTCATTTTCGACTTGCCTAGAGGGTTCGATTAATTTAACTGAAAAAATTCGTGCAAATAAGTTTAACTGACGTACAGCAAAAATGTATGTGATTTAATAGGTTGTACAGAAAAGTTATGTGGTGTTCCCATCAGGTCTCTCTCTCTCTCTTTTCTTTTAATCTCTGGACCTAAATTTCTGTTTTG